ACGCATTCCGCTTGTTTTAAAATAATATATTCAAAACAAGTTAAACGTATGTACAAAAATTCTTTACACTATGTATATCATAGTTGTATCTTATATACTGTTATGATAGCGGAAGTCACGCGACTCTGGAAGCATGCGCGCTAGAGTTTCTAGAAGGATCATGACTGTTCCTGGCAACTCTAGTCTTTCCTAGGCGCCCTCTATTTTAGTATATAAGCCCAGCAAATAAAGTGGAGAAATAATAGCAGATTGAAGAGAGATATAGAGACAGATAATTGAGTCAAGTGAGCGGTAGTGACCGTAAGTAAAGTGCGTGAATCGTTGTGAATTATAGCGGGTGTTTGATTTAAAGTGATTGTGGAAATTCTGTGTATTGCAAAGTTGTATTGAAAAAGAATAAACTAGTTTTATTTAAGAAAGGACCTGTATCGCTGAAGTTCTTCGGAAATAATGTTTATGGGAAATTAACAAACGAACAGAGACGTAACAATACTATGCAGTTCTCTTCTTCTTGTCAAAAATCCACTTAGACCAATTCAATTGCTTTAGAATTAAGTTGAGCCAAACTATTTTTCTCTATTTTTATTTTAAATATTATCAGTGTATAATTCACCTATTCCATTTCTTCTCTATGTTTTTTTTTTATATTACAATAGTATCAGTGTATATATAATTCACTTAAACTGCCTCGTGAGTTACAGCAGTTGCATCCTGAACTTCCTATATTCATCTACTTGTTCGTATTTTGGCCTACTTCCAACAAACGCCTGCTTTTTGCATATAGTCCTACTTCCAAATAATCGTCTACTTTTTGTCAAAGTTCACACAGGCAGGTTCAATTGCTTTAGAACACCCTTTAACAAGACAAATTATTCTCATAAAATGTCAGAAAACTGTTAATCTCACTTTAACATATCAACAATATTTAACATTCACTCCTATGATGGTTAACTTAACGTTTTCTAACCTTTCTCTTCCCACTCTCTGGTCTCTCGTCTCGTTGCCACTATTTGTATCTCTCACTGAGGCGTTTTAGAAATCTCGGTAGCTTCTATATCAATAACTTACAAACACATCTTCCAATAGTCTCTGCTTTCAACTCTCTCATTATAAAAAACACACACGCTAAACAATCATGAAATATTAATTCACAACATAAATGAATTAATACAACCAACACTAAACAGTCTTTATATCTGACATAGTGGCTTGAGTTGGTTCCAAATAGCTTAAAATTTGACTCATCAGACCAAAATATTCTTTTTTACATAATGGTTGTACATAATGGTTTTTACATAATGGTTGTCCACCTTTTTTTTTGGGGGGGGGTAAAGTTAAGGATTTTCTGTCTGTTACCTTTGTGGAACTAAGGCTGTTTTTGTTGTTGTTGTTGTTGGAAATCGTAAGTATTAAATCATCTGCTTAGACATTGACGCCTTTATCAAATTTTTATCTAAACCCATATTTTCGTCTTAAAAGTCATCAAATCATCGTCTTCCAATGCATCATAGGCAAAATCCTAGAGAAGACTGTAATTAAAAAGCTTTCCTATGAGATTGGACTACTGTTATTCTCTTCATTGTGTGATTATCATAGTAGAAGATAAATCTGGAACAGTGTTGCTGAATTTGTAGTTGACACATGGGAATGCTTTGAAGCTGATCAGACCACTTTGATAGTAGCTTTAGACGTGGAAGATGTTTATAATATAGTCCAACTACTAATTATAGCTGATAAAATTCTCAGAACAGGCATTAGTGTAAGATGGGTCGTACCTGCACTAACTACCAGAAGAAGCATGATGAATCATGGAGGATGAAGTCAGACTGTATCACCACTCTTCCAGTCATCTTCAACATGTATAGTACTACACCATTAGTCTAACCTATTTTGACAATCCAACCAGATACCATGTGATAACCTTTTCTAACAACATTCTGATGTACAACAAAAACTTCAGAAAAATGTTAATCGAAGACAAGGTGTAACCATTCATCATCAATATGAGAAAACAATGCAATGAGACAGGATCTTGACAAAACTATAGGCATATTCTATACATTCAACGACAGACTATCACTATCATTTGTGGGTACTGCCATCCCTCTGGGAAGATACTAAAGCACCTGGAGGTAAACTGTAAGAGACAATCCAATTTCACCAGTCACATTAACACCTTCATAACCAGAGTTATCAAAGGCGCCAATGCACTGAAAGTTGCAGCAGGAAATAGAACCAAAGAATGTTACTTATTTACGCTCAACTAAAGTCTTATCTTCTCCATCCTGGTTTACACACTAATGATGATCAATATGAGTGTTATGCAGTTAGATAAGATTGAAATGATACACAACGCCTGTTACACCCTACAATCCTCAGCAACAGTGCAGAGCACCAACAGTGTTTACAAACAAAATTTTTCCATTAGGCTTAGCGGTGTAAAGACCATTTTGAATTGGGACATCATAGCTCCATAACGATCCAACAGATACCAACCAAGCAGTGTATAAAAGACGAAGCATGGACAATTAGTTATAGAACTTACGATCTTGAACAATATGTGTATGATATTTTCAGAGAAAACTGGTTTTCCGCAAGAGCAAAGAAGATAGGTCTGCTATATGAAAGGACATTCAATCAGAAAAATATAAATTTCTTTGAAATTAACCGAGTTTGTGCAAAGAAAGAGATTGGACACAAATATAAACACGTGTTGAAAACAATCTTTATTTTCAACACAAAACATCAATAAATAGCATAAAGGGCAATCACTTTTATTAGAAAGAGATTATAAGTTGTATGGAAATCTATATAAAGCGCAAGACAGCAAATACTATAAATTATGTATGAATCTGTTGAAGCCTGAGAAGGTATCATGTTATGTATATTAAAGTATAATCATGCTTTCTCACAGCGACTAACGTCATTTACGTGTCGATCATTCCCATTAGAAAAATGAGAGAGGTTGTAACCTCGATATAATAACTGAATGAACTGATCTACTGTTGAAGAGCACTGCTGTATATTTTCTTACAATAAATGCAACGTTACAGCTAACTTCATAGGTGTAGTGGGGTTGGAACACGTGGACACGGCGTGCCTTTACTTTTTTTTTAATAGTCAGAACGCCGTACCACCAGTATTTCGAAATAATCCTACCTTACATGATTATGCAGTAGATTTAGCGCTCCAGCATTTCTTTATTTAGCACTACACCACTGACTATTTTCCTCAAACGCAGAGAAGGAGTTATCTCAGGACAATGACATAGAACAGTGGGAAGTTAGAGCGAAAGGAACTTAACGGCTTTCTTGACCAATATTCTGGTGGCAACAGCTACTTGAAACCGAATCTGATCAGGAAAAACAAATAAATCTGTTGCTGATATATTGTTAAATCAATCATTAAGTTTGCACTTATCCGTTTGAAAGAATGGCTCCATGTAATTTTAAGTATTGTTACGACAGCGGAGGTCAGCGGATCTAGTAACACGTCATGCACTTCTAGAACGTTCATGAAACCTCTAGCGTTTATTAGATTTCGGTATTCTTTTATATAT